TCTTTAGTGACAGAGACTCTATACTTTCCTCAACACTGAGCACATTACCTGACACAGCAGGTGCTCATAAAAATTCCCAGAGCATTACACTGACAAATAATCTGACTTCTAGAGTTCTTTACCCTACACCCTTTTGTATGTCTTCACTTTTCTTCCTTATTCCTCCACTACATCTGATTTCTTTTGATCTTTCTACCTTAAGGAATGGAAATCACTTTCTGTTTATGGTCTCAAAGCTACTAAGTGATAGAAATGGCCTCAAACGTGTACACTAAAACACTTTAAAATAACACTACCCTTAATTTTCCTATAGCATCCTTTTCAAAACCACTGACAAATTTTCTTGTAGAAATACCACTACACATGCCTTTTACGTTTCACTCTACTATGTTTTATGATACTGCTTTTTCAGACAGATGATGCTGTCCTTCATTTATATTGTGGTTTAACAGCTTTGTGGTCTGGTCATTGAACTTAACTAAAATTTATAACATTATTCTACAAAATAGTTTTTGAGCACCAAAGAAACAAATTAGGGAAATTTTTGGAGGATAATTAATTGAAAATAAGAGATAGTCTATTTTAAAAATATATAATTTACATTTTGAGGTAGTAGTTTCCTACAGAATTTTCCTGAGAGACATAGAGGGGAGCTAAGTACATGAAACAGCAAACAAAAGAGTATTTCAGACCCTAACAATCAAAAAGCTATCCTTTCCACATTACCATGAAAGCATACCTGAGCAAAGAAGAATAAACAAATGTTCCTGTTGTGTACTTTGTATAAACTGGGATAATATAAGGATTCCAGCCAGTCAATTTAGTGAAACCTGTGCTTAGTCAAATATGACTTATGGAATGAATGAAATCTACTGGAATAGTTGCTGACCGGCAGCAGCAGAATATCCAGCATGATTCTATAAATAAATTTAAATGAAGAAAAAATTCTTACAATTTCTAATAATTTTTTGTATCTCCAAACATGCAACTATAAAATTATAAAGCCATCTAGTTAATCTCAAAGCTAACAACTACCTTCAATAACAATGACCAGAGATTTCATTGCTATTGTTAAAATACTGAGATTGTTGATGAACAAAGGAACAGACAAAGAAGACTGACTGACTTATGTAAATTTAAAAAGCTATTCCTAAGACTTCTGGGGAAAGATGGTAGAGCAGGCAGATGCACTGAGAAGACCCTCTGAAACACAGACATGGGAGATCCAGTGAAATAGATATAGATGGTGATCCTGGAACTCTGAGCTTCAGAGGGTAGGACAGAGAAGTGGACTGAGTACCCACTAAAAGACAAAGTGGAACAGGAACAGTGGGAGAAAAGAAAAGAAAAGACTATAGGGTAGCTTAGATGGTACAGCCATCGTGAGTCCTAGTGTAGTATTGTAGGACGAACCACAAGAGTAGAAGCCTACCACAATATCAATAGTTCCAACCCACCAGTCACTCCTTGGAAAACCTAGCCAGGGTTGCTATGAGTTGGAACAGACTTGATGGCACTAAACAACAACACTGACATGGTTGCTTGCAAGCACAAGATCTGGCTGGAGGTTGGCAGCAGGTGGTGGTGGTGGTTATGTGCTGTGGAGTCGATTCCAACTCATAATGACCCTGCACAGGGTTTGCGAGGCTGTAAATCTTTACAGGAGCAGAAAGTCTCATCTTTCTCCCACAGAACTTCTGGTAGTTTCGAACTGCTGACCTTGAGGTTAGCAACCCGACATGTAACCACTACGCTACCAGAGCTCCTTTCCCTTTGCGCCCATGCTCTTCTGCTAACCAGGGGATGGTCAGTCCCCACTCTGCACAGTCTCTGTTCTGTCTGGGGTCAGTCACTCAAATGGCAGCGTGCTCCTCTTTCTGGAGGCGTATGAACATGCCTGAACTATGTTACACAAAACCATGTAAACACAAAACCAAGTTCATACTACCAGTCTCTACCATATCCACTAGGAGAGAATGCACAAATATACAATAATTAATTAAATATAAATACAACACCACAATGTCTCTAAGAAAACAGAACATTTCAGATTACATGAAGAAACAAGACAGAGTGCCTCAAGCAAGTCACCAAAATACAGAGTCACAAATGTAACACCAGAAATGTTTTGGGGACTACTTGATAAGGCATTTAAAAAAAAGTGATTTAGACACTTTGAACTAATGGAGACAATGATCAAGAAAACTACAGATGAAATAAAGGAAAACAGAAAAAATTAGAAGAATTTTGGAAACAAATTGAAAAAATTAATGAATAAATAAAAACTATACAAAAATAGCAATTAGAAAGCCCAAAGATTAACACTAAATTGTCTGAAATACACAATACACTGAAAGAGTAAAGAAGGATAACTGAATCAAAGGAAAGCCGAATTAGTGAGCTTGAAGACAAATCTCTCAATACTCATCTGCTAGAGGAATAATCAGGAAAAAAAAACACAAAAACCCAAAATTCTAAGAAAGCCTAAGGTTTATGTGGAATATTATTCAAGAGGATGTCTTGGTGTGGTGCTGTATGATCATCACTGAACGGCTAACCATAAGACTGGGTAGCAATAAAGAATAACTTACATGTGATTGGAATTCTGTAACAGGGAGAGACAAAAAACAAAACAAAAACAAATGAACCAGAATATGATATAAGGCTTGTTGATAGAAACCTTCCCTAACATCATGAAAGACAAGAAGATAGCCTTTTCAAGAAATTTTACAAAGTCCAAACAGGATAGATTCCAAAAGAAAATCACCAAGATACAATATAATCAAAATTTTCAAAACCAAAGACAAAGTAAGAATCTTAAGAGCATCTCAAGGAAACCAAAAAGTTACCTATAAAGAACTAGTCAGACTATGTTCTGATTTCTCAGCAGAAACCATGCAGGTAAGAAGACAGTGGAATGACATATATAAACCTATGAAAGAAAAAACTGCCAAGCAAGAATTATATACCTAGCAAAACTGCACTTTAAATGTGACAGCAAAATTAGGTCATTCAAATAACCGGAAATAAAAAATAATTTGTAGAAATCAGACCAACCTTACAAAAAATTCTAAACGGAGTTCTCTGGACTGAGAACCAACAACAGCAGACAACAACCTGAAATTAAAATGCATGACAATATCACCCAGAACTCAACCAAAATATATTGTCGTTGTTAAGTGCCATCAAGTCATGTCCAACTCATAGTGACCCTGTATAGGGTTTCTGAGGAGTGACTGTTGAGTCTGAACCATCAATCATGCTATTCTAATCGACCTTATGGTTCAGTGCTTATACTACAGTGCCACACCAGGACTCAACCTAGATATGCTCTTGTTGTTAAATGCTGTAGAGTCGATTCCGACCCATAGTGACCTTGTATAGGGCTTCCAAGGAGAAGATGGTGACCTTGAACCGCTGACTTTGCAGTTCAAACGGCTTTGCAGTCTGGTGCATAAACCCACAGCACCACACTAGGACTCCCAACCTAGACATATAAGTATTCAAAGTAAAACAGACCTAACAAGACTGAAAATAGAGAACCAGAAAGGTTATAACAAAAAACATAATGTAAAAAGAGGGAATACTGTAGTTACAGAATTTCCTAATGAAGAGGAAATTGAAGAAATTTCAGGAAAACAAAATAAATAAATATAAACCTAACTTTAACCCTAAAAAATATACCAAGCCTTACTCTGAGCCCTAGTCCAACCCTTACTCCTAACAGTAACCCTAGTTCTAACCATAACCTAAACACTAAACAAAGTCCTAGGCCTAACCTACACTTAGTCATAGTTCCAATCCTAACCTTCACTCCTTACTCCTACCAACACCTCCGAAAGTTATTCATGATTTATCCAAGTACGGCTCTGTATGATAAGCAATGGACTGTAAACCACAGGGTCCACAGTTTGAGACCACCAGCCACTCCATGAGAGAAAGATGAGCCTTTCTGTGCCTGTGAAGATTTAGTCTTGGAAACACTATACAGGGACACTATGAATTGGAACTCACTCCACAGCACTCAGCAACAATAACATAATGATAAAAAATTTATTATAAACAGAGATGATCTGAACGTGCTTTTATGATAAGCTATTAAGCTAATATTTAAAAATAAAAGCCTACAAAACTATTATTAAAAGTTTGAATAAAAACCCATTTGAATAATTATAATAATTTATTTTCTGTGAAATGATGTAAGTAAAAGAATTTTGCAAACAAGTGGCATACAAAATCATGGCAATATACACTAAAACTGAAATTTGATGTTTTTGATTTAATTAACTATTAAAATGGCAAAACACTAGGCAATTAATGCTAGTATTCCCCAACGTGAAATAACAGGAATAGAGATTTAAGATCACTTGGCTCTGTAGGATAACACTATACTGCAAAACACAAAGTTGGCGGTTTGAGCCCACCAGCTACTCTGCGGGAGAGAAAGATAAGGCTTTCTGCTCCCACAAAGATGCACAGCTTTGGAAATCCTGTATAAGATTGATATGAATTTGAAATGACTTGATGGCACTGAATAACAACACCACCAAAGCCAAATGTATATATAAAATGTCCTAAATACCTACAATCTGAATACACTAGCTAAATAATTGGAGGTATGGATTTGATTTAACATCCCAGAATGCTATAGATAATTATTTGCTTTCTAGTATGCTTTCTCGACGGCACCTACAACAACAACAACAAGTATGCTTTCTGGTTATATTTTAAGAACAGTATATGGACAAACATGCTTTTTAAAAATCTATCAAGACTCATTTCAAATTTAACACTAAGAAGTTATTTTCAATATTACTTGATAAATTTTTCAAACTGAAGAAAATGAGTATCAAGGATTGAAAAAGATGGAATTGAGAGAGTAGAAGGAAAGCACATAAACATTAAAGTGTTAGTATAGAAAAACTATGCTGATAACTAGTATTATAAGAATGGAGAGGATGAATTAAATTATAGGATAGGTCTGGCTACTTTTAACATACCCAGTTCTAGTTTCTGACAAGAGGGAATCTCTTCTGTTACCGTAATGAAGTAGCTGTGCAATCCTTTGAAAGCTAGCAGCAAAGTGGCACAAAGTGTATAATGAAAATTATAAGCATGATGTAGGAAGGATTCTGCAATGATGAAACTGCATCCCTAAAAAAAAGAACAGATTTGGGGGAACAGAATGGTTAGTAACCAAAAATCTTAAAGGATTATACTTCAATATTAGGAAAATCCACCCCAATTTATTAGTTATTCTAAAATATAAGAGAATTTAGAAAAAATTTAGAGTTGTTCACCCAAAGAATTTAAACATATAAAATGCAACTCTAGTAATTTCAGTTACGGAAGACTCTTTAAAAAAAAAAAAAAGGATGTAAAATTATATTGTTTTGATAATTTGAGAATCAAATTATATTTGGACTGAGGGACACATACGCTACATATGCTTTTATAAGTCCCCTTTTCTTCCAGGACAGTAATGGCTGTAACTGTACTACCTCAGGTTGGGTCTCAACTATGGCAACTGATTATAACTGTTTTATTAAGGGAGCAAGGGATAACGGTAGCAAGTTATAAAGTCACTGGGCTGCCAATTGAGGTCTCTATCCATTAAATCTGGTGAAACTTTAAAGTATCAAGCTAGTTTTTTCAGTATCAACAACTAAAATCACCCAATTTGTTAAGATCATGTTCAAAGAACATCGGTATGTTGTTGGGTTCAAATAACTAATAAAAGGAGTATCACAGTAAGAAATAAAATAGTTGAAAAAAGAATTTATAAACATATTCAGGTCTTACATCTGGTGACAACTGTTTTGTGTAGTTAATACCAAAGACCACACTTTCAAGAGTAGGAATCAAAGAATCTTTGTTTTGTGCTGGTACATTTCTGTTTAACCAAGTAGTCTTCACAGAACGAGGAAAGCTGGAGGAATAAGTATTACATTATGATTATCATAATAGTCTACTTAAACTTAAGCTGAATATTTATTAACTAAATCTTACAGGATGAAAATAAAGAGCAAAGAGTATGTCATGTTATGAGTTCTAACATATTCTTAATAATTATTTTAATAATTTGATTATGAAGAGACACAGTGATTATTAAAAAATTAAGCTAGATGCTTGATATTACTTCTCTACGGTTGGGATTCAGGAAGTCTCAAAGGATACTAAAGAGAACACAGGATAGGATCCAAAGTGACTAAATGACAAATGGGTATTAAGCTTTAATTTGGAAGCACTGATCAGTCAGAGCTGGTTCCCAAGTTTTAAAAAGTTAAAAAAACCAAAACAGGCTACTTACAGAAATACAGAGCTCCCACTAACATGTAAAAAGAAAACTTACTCAATAGTTAGATGTCTCCATTTCTCAAAACTAGGATTATTTCCTTTTCTTAATTCTCTAAAAGACTATGTGTTCTATTAAGATAACCTTTATAAATGCTTCAAGGCACCATCTCAATCATATATGAACTACTTCTATTATTATTAGCAATCTATTACTGCTGCCCTGGAGTTGATCCTAACTCATGGCGACCCCGGCGACCCCATGTGTGCAGAGTAAAACTGCTCCAAAGGATTTTCCAGATTGTGACCTTTCAGAAGCAGATCACCAACTTAACTTTCAAGGCAGCACAGGGTAGTTTGGTAAGTACTCAAGTGCTTCATCATTTGCACTACCCAGAAACTCCTATAATATTACATTTAGTATTCTACAAATTTCATAGAATAAGAGAAATATTTCTGATTGAATGTTTAAAAATAAAACAATTATATTTGAGATAAAGCACTGGTAATTATAAGTATGCCAAAGCTTTTGGATTAACAATTTGGAAAAAAGGGAAAAGATAGAAAAGTAAATCATCTTTGCCATAAGCAGAGAGCAGCTTTCATTTGCAAAATCAATTTGCTTTGCTAAACAATATATCTATATTCCACCAGAGAAGGGATTCTCAAGTCATTGGTAAATTTCACTTGCTCTGATGTCTTTTTCAGAATTGAGTCATAAAAGTTGTCCTTAAAAAAAAAAAAAAAAAAAATCAAATAAGGAATAGATCAGATAAAAAAACAAGCAAAGAAGTCCTTATCCACTTTTTTTAAATGCCTGATTAATACCTATAGTTGGGTTGGTCACAGAAACTGTTTTAAGTGAAAATCAGCATGAGAAAAGGCAAAATTCAGAACTAACTTTTTTTTTTTCATTGTTTTTATAGGAGAGAAAAAAAAATCCACCTATAGTGAAAAGGGTCAATTAAGTTAAGTCTCTCCCCAGAGAATGCCATTTAGAGATCACTCTGTGAAGTGCATTCTCATGAATTCAGTAAACTTTCTGCTAATTAAAAAAATTAATTCACCTATAACAAAACTTCAAGAGCAACTTGTTGAAGCATAAACAGTGAGGAATATTACCCTTAACATGACCCCTTTACCAGCATCACCAGCAAAAAGCTTATTTTTACCTTTTCTTTGCTTCCAGTTTCCAACCTCTAATTTATAGGCAAAGAAAGGCAAGGAAAGACACTGCTTTCTTTCCCTGGCGAGTTCTAGCAGCAACAGAGGTGATAAAAGGGCTTAGGGCAGCTAAGTAAAGACCAGCAACCTCAGCTGTTGCAGGCACCTCATTTTTATCTCCAGTCACTAACCAGAGCCAACAGTTAATCCTCTTGGCTTCTGATTCTGAGCCAAAAATGTCTTCTGCTTGCAGTAAACGGTCTCTAGGAGATGAGCTGCCCCTTTCTCCTAATAGTCTGTGGCAAAAAATGCTGCATTGCAAGAGGAAACACACATTGAACTCACCAGGATTAGTGTGTAAATATCACTATTCTTTAATTAAGGTTTTACAAAGTAACATTAATAATCTGAGCTAACCTCTATGAATAGTGTGTACATTTCAGGAGTGACACAGTAAAGATCTATAAACACAGTCTTGGTGAGTTTTAAAATAGGAATGGTTCAAACAGTTTATAGGGATTCTTAATGAAATGACACAAAGCAGATTCAGAAAACTACAGGAATTTGTTTTATAAAGAAAGAAACTTTCAAGTATTAAAACTTAAGGTGCAATTCACATAAAAGTAATATGGCATATTTCTTTTTTGACAGTTACACTGATCTTACTAGGAGCTCTGGTAGTGTAAGTGGTTACGAATCGGGCTACAAACCGCAAGGTCAGCTGTTTGAAACTACCAGCTGCTCTGCAGGTGAAAGATGAAGCTTTCTACTCCTGTAAAGATTTATAGCCTCGGAAACCCTGTACAGGATTGCTATGAGTTGGAACCGACTCCACAGCACACAACAACAACAACTGATCTTACTAGGGCATAAAAAAGACAAAGCAAGCTGTCAGGAAAACAAATTTCTTCCTTACCCTGTGCTCTAACTTAAGGGTCAAGATGACCTTTATATTTGGGATCATGAGTAACAAAATGGAAGAGGTTTTTGATTACAGTTTTGAAAACAAAGGAAAGAGCTATGTCACAGGAGGTTCTTGTTACTTGTAGTCAATATGCTAAATTGTATCAGCATCTGTAAATACCGAGAATAATTCTATAAAATTTATATATATACTCAGATTTCTGATAAAACCAGCTTATCATATCCCTTATACATCATCCATAATACTAGCTGTATGAAATTGTAAAGCAGACAATTCAGAAGCCAAATCAAATATTTTTCACATAACTTACTGATTTTAAAAAGTGTTCATAACACAAAGATGATGATTTGTTATAAAAAGTTAAGAGAAAAATTGTATTCTTACATCAGTAAGACAATCCATTTCCTCATGGAAGTATATGGTAAAAAAATAATCACCCCAGTGCATTTATTATGATCCATAATACTATATTTTTAAATGAAATGGTACATAATATAGTTTAAAAATCATAAATCTGTAAAATTGGTTAATAACATAGAAAACAGTATCAGTATAGATTTCAGATGATGAAATTAATCTATTCAGCGAAGAGACCAAGGTAAAAAACATGAAAAGCAAATGCACTTTGCCAGACAATAAGTAATTACAACATAGTATTACATGAAAACACAGAAACTAACTAACTAAATAACTGCTGTGCAGTTATTTTCCAATGGCATTATTTTGGGATTGACAAAAGATTGCTCCATATTTCTATAATGAAAAATTACCAATCTAATGCTCCCATAATCTTAATTATTATTTTAATACAAAATAAAAGTATTATTAATAATTATAAAATTAGAGATTCCTTACTATTAGTGTGTATATGTATATTCATCAGTGTATATGTTTTCACTAATAAAATGAAAGACATTACATTAATAAGCACTAGAGTACTATTTAAATTTACCTTATTAGTGGTTGGTGTAGTGCAACCAGTGATGCATGGACTGTGACAGATACAACAGAAAGGTGGAAATAATCAAACATAACATTAACATGATGATGTAGGCCTCTATGGAGGCTAAAGTGCAGCTTCAATGTTCGGCTACTTATAAGTTGCATGGCGTTCAAGTCATCTGCCCTATAAAAAGCAATGCATTTGCATGTAAGATGCGATATTTTATAAAAGCCAATTATTTATCAAGTATTTTAAGCTGTCAAAAACATTTAGTTACTTAATCACTTTCTAAAAACTTGAATAAGTAGTCATTAAAGCATCAAATTTGTTTAGATGATACATGAAATCTAACAGTAAGAAAATAATCATTTACCAATCCGTATTATGTTTCCTTTTTCATGAATGCTCCTGTAACATGAGCCACTCAGAAATATTAAACTAAATTTTACACCACAGGGAATACTACTGATTACAAAGTGGCAGTATAAGATAACAAAAGGAACTATGGGTCGGAATCGACTCGACAGCACTTAACAACAACAATAACAGTCAAACCCTATTTTAACAAACCCCAAAAGATAATTCAACTTAATTTTACTGATTTTTTACCCAAAATTTTACCCAAAAGATAATTCAACTAAATTTTCTTATTAACTGCTGCTCTAAAACAAACCACTAGCAGAAAACTTGACTACAGATATTTGTTGTTGTTGCTGTTAAGGGCTGTGGTGTTCGTTCTAACTCATAGTGATCCTGTACAGGGTTTCCAAGGCATTTGAGCTAACAACCTGGTACATAAAACCGACTTGAAGTCAAGTGCACTATGCCACAGTGCCACACATTTGGTCTGTCATTAAATTTACATGGAGAAAAATACTGAAACAATGCCATAAATAATACATGAAAAAATTCTTACTTCTCAATGATAATGAAGAGAACATCTAGACTTTCCAGTAATGTGACTATTAGTCACTTAACACTATATGCTATCTGAATTTATGTATAATACCCCCCACCCTAAAATAAAACCTCTAAAACTGGACTCCTGTTGTGGCGCTGTAGGATCAGTACAGGATTGCGAAACACAAGGCTGGAAGTTCAAACTCACCAGATGCTCCTCAGAAACTCTATATAGGTCATTATGAGTCAGAATCGACTTGATGACACTTAACAACAACAGCAACATATCTAAAACTGGAGCCCTGGTATGATGCTGTAGAATAAGCACTGGACCACTAACCACAGAGTCAAGAGTTCAAGACCACCAGCTGCTCCTTGGAAACCCTATATAGGGTCATTTTAATAAGGAACTGACTCAATGGTATTTAGCTACAATAACATATCTAAAACTTCATTTGAAAAGAAAAACAAAGACAAAAACCTCCAACAGTAAACTTGTTATATAAATCGCTGATTCTTATTTTAAATAAATAAAAGCATAATATGTCCCTAAATTATAGGTCTATTTTCAGGTGTGTGGGAAAGTTCAGTGTTGTTGTTGTTGTTAGGTGCCATCGATTTGGCACTGACTCATATCGACCTTATGCACAGCAGAACAAAACACTCCCTGATCCTGGGCCAACCTCACTATCGTTGCCACACTAGAGCCCACTGATACTGCCACTTTGCCAATCCATCTCGCTGAGGGGGTCTTCCTCTTATTCTCTGACCCTCCACCCTACCAAACATGATATCTTTCTTCAGCGACTGGTCCCTCCTGACAATATGTCTGAAGTATGAGAGACAAAGTTTGGCCATCCTGGCCTCCAAGGAGCATTCTGGCTGCACGTCTTCCAACACAGATCTGTTGGTTCTTTGGGCAGCCCATGGCACTTTCAATATTCTCCAACACCATAACTAAAAACCATCAATTCTTCTACGATCTTCCCTATTCACTGTTCAGCTTTCACATGCATATGAGGTTATTGAAAATACCATGGCTTGGATCAGGCGCACCTTAGTCTTTCAAGCTGACATCTCTGCTTTTCAATGCTTTAAAAAGGTCTTGTGCAGCAGATTTGCCTAATGCAATATGTTCTCTTTGATATCTTGACTGCTGCTTGAGTGATGATAGTTGATCCAAAAAGAATGAAGTGCTTGACAACTTCAATCTTTTCTCCATTGATAAGAATGTTGTTTATTGGTCCAGTGGTGAGGATTTTTGTTTTCTTTATATTAAGACGCAATCCATACCGAAGGCTGTGCTCTTTTGATTTTCACCAGTAGCTAGTTTAAGTCTTCTTCACTTTCAGCATGCAAGGTTATATCATCTGCGTATCTCAGGTTGTTAATGAGTCTTCCTCCAATCCTGATGCCACATTTTTCTTGATATTACCCAACTTCTCGGATTATTTGCTCAGCATACAGGTTGAATAAGTATGGTGAAAGAATACAACCTTTTCGCATACCTTTCTTAATTTTAAATCATTCAGTGTTCCCATGTTCTGTTTGAACAACTGCCTTTTGGACCATGTACATATTCCTCATGAGCACAAGAGTTCAGGAATACTCATATTTCGCAATGTTGTCCACAGTTTGTCATTATCCACGCAATCGAAAGCCTTTGCGTAGTCAATAAAGCACAGGTAAACATCTTTCTGATATTCTCTGCTTTCAGCCAAGATCCATCGGACATCAGCAGTGATATCCCTCATTCCACAGTCTCTTCTGAATCCAGCTTGAACCTCTGGAAGTTCTCTGTCAATGTATGACTGTAGCCGTTTCTATATTACCTTTAGTAAAACTTTATTCGCATGGGATATCAAAGATATTATCCGATGATTTCCACATTCCATTGGTTCACCTCTCTTTGGAATGGGCACTAATATGGATCTCTTCCAATCAGTCAGCCAGATAGTTGTCTTCCAAATTTCTTGGCAAAGATGAGTAAGTGCCTCCTGTGCCACCTCACTTTTTTGAAAGATTTCAATTTTTATTCCATCAATTCCTGGTGCCTTGTTCTTTGCCAATTCCTTCAATATACTTTGGACTTCTTCCTTCAGTATCACTGGATCTTGATCATACGCTACCTCTTGAAATGGCTGAACATCAACTATTTCCTTTTGGTACAGTGACTCTGTGTATTCCTCCTTCCATCTTCTTTTGATGCTTTCTGCATCATTCAATAATTTGCCCAGAGATCCTTCAATAACGAAAGTCGAGGCTTGAATTTTTTCTGCAGTTCCTTCAGCTTGAAAAATGCTAAGCGTGTTCTTCCTTTTTGGTTTTCTGACTCCAGATCTTTGCACATTTTGTTCTAAGATTTGTCTTTAGCTTCTTGAGCAGATATTTGAAATTTTCTGTTCAGCTCTTGTATCTCCTCATTTCTTCCATTTGCTTTAGCATCTCTAAACTGGAGAGCAAGTGTCAGTGTCTCTTCTGACATCCATTTTGATCTTTTCCTTCTCTCTTGTTTTCTTAACGACTTTTTGCTTTCTACCTGTATGATGTTCTTGATGTCATCCCA